ATTAAGGCAAGGGTAATGAACCCTGAACAGGGACACGATCATCCAAAAGTAGAACTGGTACCCCAGTTTGGGGGAGCAGTTTCTTCCATTCTAGAAAGGAGGCCAACATCCCCATTTACAAGGTGTGCAACCTTACTCAGGTCTTGGGTTCTCTTTGTGCCCAAGTTTCCACCTCCGATCTCTGGCTTGCAGACTTTAAAGCTAAAGGAGCTGCCCATTCTCAGAGGCCAGCTTCTCATCCCAGCTGTTCCCAAACAGAGGGCTGAGCCACAGCCCTGATGGTGCCCACAGCGCGGGTACTCACATCCCTCACACACAATCAAAGCAGTGTTCAAACACCACCCTTAGTTTTAAGAGACCGAGAGGAAGGCATTTGAAAATCACAAAGGCGCTAAGTGTATCTGGCCAGCCAGTGGTTAATTACGACTCAATTTCTTCCCTTACTGGAGAGAGACATTGGAAGCATCCCCATTAGTACATCACCCTTGCAGCAGACCAGATAGCCTGTGTGATGACTATAATTCACCCATTAACATTTATTGGAAAATAATTTTAATATCTGAAGAAACTGCAGTAGCAATCAGACCAGCCAGATGCATGCAGAATGCCAAGATGTTCCACAGGAGCCCTGGAGCACTTTAATGAAACTGCGTCCACACTGTTTAAATAATTCTGATTTAATTGTAAGGCAAATTGTTTGGCTTCATATGGACTAAAATGAACTCTGATGGATGGGATTTTAATTAACTGACATTTCTTAAATAAAATAAATATTTTACCCCATCCTCCCTCCAGGCAACTGTTTATCTTACAGAGACATACTTTTTTTTGGCTGATGGAATATTCTGTGCAAAATAAGTTTGGCTCCAAAAGGGAATCATGGGAAAAGCTGGTAAAGTAAGTGTTTCCTTTTGAAAAGGAAAGCAGCAGAGTTCAGTCATGTCTTCAAAACTATAAAACTTGTAGGACTGGGGGAGGTTTAAAGTAGAAATAATAAGTAGGGGCTTTTGCTTCAGAAAATATGGGAAGGATCCTTTGTCAATATGAATTAGGTCTGAGATAAATCACAGCAAACCTTTTTAATGGCAGTTCTGGGGTTGCTAGAAAATAAGGGAATTCAATAGTCCTACCCCCTTCAAAACAAATAAATGAAATTGACTTGTCAAAATCAAAATTTTCCTCTTATGAGAAAGAAAAGGTGAGGTATAGACCAAGAAAATATTAATATTTTCAAAATGCATATCCAACAATTGATATATTTTAAAAACTCGTAAAATTTAAGAAGAAGATACTGTGAGTGATCTGATTTTTAGATAATCACAAGTCTTGAAAAGACATTGCAACAAAGAGTTTGCATGAGTGGCAAAGGGACAAGAAGATAGTCAATGTCATCAGTGGTTGCAAAGCAAAACCACACAGAAATCCCAGCATGCACACAGTAGGACAGCTCAAATGAGAGAGACTGTGCTGGTGAAGAGGCAGACAAGCTCTCATCCACTGGGGTGGGAGTTTAAAATGGTACAACCAGTTTGGAAAGCAACCTAGCAGTTTCTTATCAAGTTAAACACACGCCCTAACATATGACAGAGTATTCACCCGAGAAATGAAGGCACCTCTGAACCAAATTTTATCTGTACGAGTCAAAACAGGAAACAACCCTCAGAGCTGAAAGGCTAACCACACTGTGGTATATCCATACAAGGGAATACTGTTCAATAATAAAAAGGGAAAAGTGACTGATATGCAAAGCAGGATGGAAGGATGCTGAGAGGCTTGTGTGGAGTGGAAGAAGAGAGACATTATCTCACCAAACGAGCACACACTGTGTGATTCCATTTTTGGAAAATTCTGGGAAAATGCAAACTAATTTATAGTTACAGGAAGATCAGTAATTACCTAGGGATCATTACTAGTGGGGGAAGAGAGGACCAGGGACGAGCGACTACAAGAGGGAATAAGTGTATAGGTAGGTAGGTAGATCGACACATAGATATAGATATATCTAATATATATTTTACCCCATCCACCCTCCAGGCAACTGTTTATCTTACAGAGACACACTTTTTTGGTTGATGAATGTTCTAGAGGGTAGATGAGGTTAAATACTTATTTTAGATACAGGTACACATAAACATCAATAGATATATAGAGAAATAGATATTATATATTACATAGTGTGTGTATACACTATGCATATATATTTAAATGATCAAATTATCCTTTAAATGTGTACTACTTAAGACATATTATTAGACCATTACAGGGCAATTTTTTAAAAAAGTAAAAAGGAAATCCCAGGGGCTGTGAGCAGTAAGCCAATGTGTGTGCCAGCCCTGTGTTCCAGAGGCTGATCCTGAGCTCCTAACAGGCTGCAGAAACTGAATCCAAGACACCCACACTCTACCCACCTCCCCCACATACATGCACGCAGAGCCAGGCCCCTCAAGGAGAGCTCAAGTGATCCTGGGTGAGCAATATTCTGGCTTCCACCAGAAGCAAATGCAAATCTCTAAAGAAAAAGATCCCCAAGGTGGAGCCAAAACTCATATCCCCATAAAAAATTACCACAGGTTCAAAGAAACCCATCATTGTGGGTGAAATCTGCAGGGATGAAACTACAGATTTAGATGGTGAAGGACTGGAGGCCTGGGTTTGTGAGTAGATGTTTAACAAATTAATCAGCATGGAAAGCTCGCTATGGCTGATGCCAAGTTCCCATAGGAGGCCACTGAATGCAGAACTGGGAAGAAATACGCAGAAGCAAGCCATCGTGTAGTATTTCACCATCAACTGTAATAGACATACATAATGCAGAGAGCAAGAAAACGTAGTAAAGTAGCTAAGAAATGATTCATCTTGAGTATTTATGAAAATTAATACTCTAAAATTGATTTGTGATCATGGCTAAACATTTTATGGACACTATTAATAAACTTGTTGTGCGATGTCTGAATGACCTTACCTACAATAATTAGAGGACGCACATTTTCCTCGTGTCCCAGTGAATATATCCCAAGTCATAAAACAACTCAGCACAATTCAAAGAGCCAGTAATTTGTTCTCTGACTACAGTGCAATTAATAACAAAAAATAATCACAAATTAGGAATGTTCAAATATTTGCAAAGCTTTAAAGGCATCTCTAAATATCTCTTGGATTAAAAGGATAAATGAAAGTTTGCAATCCATAGAAATGAGAAATAATGAAAATACTACATGAAATGTAGTATGAATGAAAATACTATTGAAGCTTGTGGGGTAATTGGAATGTGAAACCATGTGGGAAATTCATATGTAATTACTAACATTAGGAAAGAGTGCAGGTTTATTCATGGGGCAAATACACAATCTAAGCAGGTAGATAGTATCAAAACAGCATAATAAAAATAATAATAATAATAAAAATAAAATAATAATAATACAGAATGTAATGAAATAGTAAGTGGCAAGGCGGTATTGATAAATACTGGCAAAGACAAACCTTCCATTTTCAAACTCCTTTTTAACCTTATGGTTACTTAAGGAAAGGGTCTCTATTAGGTGATGACAGGTCTTTACCACCTGTGTTTCACATGCTGAGCTCCTTTTAGGAGAAATGGCGGGCCGGGCAGCTTCAGAGCCTGGGAAGGCCACGTAGTTGGAATTTAATAATGCTGTTTCATTTCATTATATTTATCTTTACAGTTGCATTTGCTCATGGGAACGTGAACTGATTATCCATTTACATCCTCTTGGGATCTCAAATGCCTTGCTAAATAAAGGTGTGGACATTTTGAGAGCAATTTAGCAAGAATAATAGTGATGTTTCATAGATGAGACAAATGATGAGGGTAGAAACTCTGGTCTCCAGCAAGGAAGGTTTCCTGTTAAAAGTCCTTTCCAGGTACCTTGGCCAAGCCACAACCATTGGCGGATAACTACAACCTACATTTATTCCTTCCATAAAAATAACCATATTCTGGGCCTCCCTGGTGGCGCAGCGGTTGAGTGCTGGGTTGCGAAGCTGCCCACAGCCTCTGCAGCGCCGGTTTGATCCCCGGCCACCAGCGAGGGTCCCATATGGTGTGCAGACCTCTCCTGCCACCCACTGCTCCCCTCAGCAGTGTATTTCATCAGTCTGCCTGTTCTGCTCCCTGCTCTGGCTCTGGTGAATCCTCTCACCCTCCCGCACCTCTGACTGTACCCAGTGCTTGTATAAATAAATAAATAAATCTTAAAAAAAAAATAACCATATTCTCAGCTGTTCTTTTTATCTAGAATTTAAACTCTGAAACTGGCTCTAAAACACTATCCAACATAAAATCCACAGACAGTTGCAGTTAAAGAAACTTGGAAAACATCCATTCCATGAAATTCAAGAGGGATGAACAGGTAATATAAAGTAGGCTGAAGTAGAGATACAATAGGGAATGGTGAGGACTGTGGAAATTAGAGAGCACTGAAAAAAAAAAAAAGAAAATTCGAGATGATTTGCCAATCCAAATACTAGCAGCTATTCAGCTGCTGCTGAAATGTTGGCATGGTAAAATTTTGATCCAGTGTCATGAGGTATTCCGACTTTTGAAAGACATGCCAGCTATTGAGACAGTGAAGTGAAATTTCCCAACTTTTTAAAGACCAGTTTCCCAAAATGAAAAGCACACTTCTGCAAGCCAGGGTCAGTTGGTGGCCTGCCAATTCACAACTTCTGATAGAGTTCCATTTTCTTATTTGACTGACAGGACCTAGAACCAGAGCCAAGTCAGGCTGTGCACCAGGCCAGGGCTCTTTCCACCCACCAGGCTGCCCATCCTGTGGGTCAGAGAGCTCAGGATTGAACCTGTGGCCTCAACCTCCACAGAGCAATAAAAGCAGTGGAGAAACTCCCACCATTTCCTTTCCCCAACACAAGAAGGAAATTCTGGGCCTTTCCTTACTAGTTCCTTTCCTCCTTCAAGCAAAGAATTATCAGGACTGCTCTGAACCCAAACAAGCCACTTCCAGGAAGATGCAGCCACTTACTTTGATTGCAGAGGCCGGTCACTGGGACACATCCAGCGGCTTGAACTGTTGCTGAAGACGGTGTCCGTCATGGTGGAGGTGCAGTGGTTCTGGAAAACACCAACCCAGAGAGACATCACCCAGATAGTCCAGCCACCCCTTCTTGCTCAAGTGCTACTCAATGCTGAGCACTGCAGGGGACACAAAGAAGGAAGGGACCTTCACCTAGTGTTACCATTCTCTGCCGGGGAAACTCGGGCTTCAAAAGAAAGTGTCTGGTGGGAAGGGACAGCTGCCAGGCGGCAGAAGTGGGCCAGCATGGAGAGCTCCCCTCCTTAACTGTGGTTTTCCTATTCCCAGTGGACACAAGGCCACATATCCAGAGTGGGGGTGATCAGTTCTTAACCCCCAGTCCTGGGTGCTTCCACTAGAACATGGCATCTGACTCATCGACCAGTCAACTTGGCCTTGATCAAGGAAAAACAAAAAACAACCCCCAAAACAAAAACACTTCTCAGTGTTTTGAGGCCGCAAATCCTGGAGTCACCCATAGCTTTTTACTTGCTTGTTTGGTATATTGTCTTCTCCCAAGCCGTCAGAAAATCTGTTGGCTTGTCTTAGGAAACTTTAGGTGATCTGTTATAAGAGGAGTCCTCCCAAAATAATAATAAGTTAAACAAATAAATAAATATAGAAATAAAATGTGGATTGGGAAGGGGTTCTAAAAAATGAGTAAAACAACTTTTATTTTTATACCATTTTTAATAACTAAAGAAAGCAAGAAGATTTATAGATAATACAATTTTCATGATGCACTGAAAATATGTGTTCTTATAGCAGCTGTGTTTATCACTCAATTTCATTATCTTAATATCTTAAAATTGCTTGACAAAAATGAAAAAGATGGGAGAGTGGCCAAGAGCTTTCCATCTTTTTCATTTTTGTAAAACAACTTTTAAAGACCCAACTTCTTTTTAATTTCAAAAGACAAACAGGTAGTGACCCACAGGACAGACAGCTTTGAGTCCTGCCTTAGTGTCCTCTACCGGGTGTCTTTATCCACTTTTTTCTTTATCAAATATTTTCAAGTCCCTGTAATGCACAGACAGTCCCTTTAGTTATTATCCCAAGAATTTTGATTAATAAAGTACTTTCATTATAATTCTATTTATAAACACTAATTTTATAAATTTATTTTACCCCAATAAACAGTAAGTTATTTCTTTTTTAAAGATGTATTTATGCATTTATGTATAAAAATTTATTTATAAAATTTATATAAAATTTTTATATAAATTCTATTAATAAAATTTATTTATAAGAACTGGGGTACAGGCCAGAGGTGTGGGAGGTGAAAGGATTGACCAGAGACAGAGCGGGGAGTAGAACAGGCAGACTGACGAAATGCACTGCTGAGGGGAGCAGCGGGCAAGACAGGAGAGGTCTGCTGTGCCGTGTGGGTCACTCCCTGGGATCCAACTCGTGCTGCAGAGGCTGCGGGTAGCCTCATAGCACTGCGGTATAACCCCTTGCACCATCAGGGAGGCCCCAGTAATTTATTTCTTAACCACAGCAAAATAGATTCCGGTTGCCCTCTGCCCCCGGCTGCTCTGCTGATGCAGCCACCACCCTGCCTGGCTAGCGACATGGCCTCAGCATCAGTCTTTCTGCTCCTGCCCTTTGTCAACTTCAGTCTGTCCCGGGAGAGCTTTCTGGACATGAATCATGGCTGGTAAGAATAGCATCCCCACAGTTAAATAGTTACCCAGGACCCAGCCATTCCACCACCTAAGAGAAAGGGAAACCTATTTCCACATGCAAAGAAGCATCATTCATAATATTCGAAAGGTAGAAACCACTCCACCAACCGATGGATGGATAAACAAAATGTGTTAAATCCATCAACAGGATGCTATTCATCATAAACTGGAATGAAGTTCTAACATAGGCTCAACATTCTGCTAAGTGAACAGAGTCATAAGAGGTTACATAGCAGAGGATTCTATTATTAAGAAATACCCAGAATAGGCAAATCTATAGAATATGGTTGGCAAGGACTGGGAGAGGGTGGGGGGACTGTCAGGTGATGGTTAAGGCATGCAGGGTTTCTTTGGGGCATAAGGAGAATGTTCTAGAACTGATTGAGGTGATGGTTGCACAGCTCCGAGAATCCACTAAAAGTTACCAAATGGCTGAACTGCAGGATATGTGAATTACAGCTCAGAAAATCAGGATCAGTGGTGCCACCACTTTGGAAAATTGGCAGATCTATTAAAGGTAACTATTCATCTACCCTATAGCTCAAGAATTCTACACTTAAGTAGACCCCCCCATGAAAGTGCTCATGTTCTAAGACACAGGTGAGGATGCCTGCAGCATCTCTATTTACAATAGCTAAAACCTGCAAACAGGCAAATGCCCAAGAGGAGCGTGGATAAAGAACTCGTGGTCTATTTGCACGCTGGGATACCGGCCAGCGATAAAGATGACAGCAAGGACGCATCTCACAGACATTGTACATGGTCCTCAGGAGCCAGGAGCAAAAGAGAATTCTCTACTTGCTGGTCTTCACATGAAGTTAAGAACAGACAAAGCTGTGGATAGTGATAAAAATCAGAGACCATCCACGGCTAACTTAGGGGAGTGCCCTACCTGGGGAGGGGCAGGACGGGGCCTCTGTGGCTGAAAACGTTCTGCATTTATCTGGCTGGTCATTCAACAGGTGTATATATCAGCAAAAGCATCAAGCGAAATACTGAAGATGTTCAAAAGTCCTCCATGGCTCCCGATTGCTCCTAGAATCAAATCTAAACTCCTAAGTATGGCTGAGCGCCCTGTGCTCTTCTCCATCCCCCCATCCCCCAAACCCCCAACCCACTCTGCCCCAGATTAAGCCCAAGAGCAAGGAGAAAGATCATGGAGGTTATATTTAAGTTTCTTTAAAAAAAACTTGAGAAGGCAGATTAGTGCACTCAGTGTGTTCTCAAGTCCCTGCAGGTCTTGTTACAAAGCAGCCGTGTCTTTCGGGAAGCGGAGAGATGAGAACTGGGGAGACACCTTCCTTCCGGCCCTGCGGCCTGTGCAATTAGTAAACCTTCAGTGGAGGAAGCCAGAGGGGCTGGCGGTTGCACACGTGGGAGAGAAGACCCCAGTGGAAAAGCCACTTCACTGCTCCCACATGGTTGACATAATCTTCCCAGATGAAAAGGAGCATTTCAGTGTTTCCACTTCAAAGAGGGAAAGGAAGGAGACACAGGTGGTCTGGGGCCGCGCGCCTACCTCCTGGGGAAGCCTCAACGGCTCCTCGTGGCCTGTGCCAGGATCTGAGCGTGGCTGCCCCGGGCCCCCTGGGCCACCGTCGGGTGCCGAAAATCAGTCCCAAGTAACAAACTTCCTGGGCTCCCGTGGTCTGAGCGGCTGGACATTTAGTTGAATGTTCTGCCTCCTTCTTTGCAGAGATGAGACAGGCCCTTGCGGGGCCCTGGGAGGGTTGGGGCAAGTGACAGCTCCCTGAGCTTTGATCTCCAGCTCGTGTTGGCCCCGAGGCAGAGCCCGGTGCCCGCCCTCCCTGCGCTGTAAGAGCCCATTTCCTAGTGAAATTCCAACAGCAAAGTCCAAGCTTTCTGGCTGGCTGCCCAGCGGAACCACCCAGCTCTGCCCTCCAGGCCAGAAGCCACACGGGACAGCGCTGGTCAGTTCGGCAAAGCACTTAACATTCCTGGAGTGGACTCTGGGCCCTCGCCTACTCCTGGGCCAGGAGAGGGGGCTGCTTCAGCTTTGGAGGCTGAGAGAGGAGGTCGTGTGTCCACCAGCAGATCCAGGCTGGGAATGGAGATGCAGGGAGCCGGGGTGGGGGGGCGCACAGCTGACTCTGTGGATGCCTTTCAGGGGGTGTACCCACCACCACCCCAACCCTCACCACCCCAACCCCCAGGAGCATTAGCAACTAGGGCTGAGAGGAGGAACACTTTCCAGAGACCCGCCTTTACCCAACAGAGCAGCTGCCGCCTGGAGACGCCAGCAGCCACCCATCCTGGGGGTAGGCTCCAGCCAGTAACTCACTGGTAAGAGGAGGGTACAGAGCCCAGTCCCCTTGGGTCAAGGTGGCACAGCTCGGTGGTGCCAGCACCCTTCTGAGCTCCCAGTGGGCTCGGCTGAGGCCAGGCTCCAGCAGAAGCCACACCCCTGCCGGGGATCCTCCACTGCCTTGTCCTGCACCCTCTTCCCTGAGGGTCCTCCTGGGAGCACTCCCCGAGTGCTGCGCTAGCACGGAAGGCTCATCACAGCTTATGCTTCTAGGGAACTTGGCCTCGTGTGGGAGGAGAAAGGAGGATCTTAGGGAAGGAGGCTCTTCTGATTGCCGCGTCCATCATGTCCGCAGCCTCTGCAGCACCAGCTTGATCCCCAGCCGGCCAGGGAGCTACCCAGATGGTGCAGCAGACCTCGCCTGTCTCGCCCGCTGCTCCCCTCAGCAGTGGATTTCAGTAGATCCACCTGTTCTGCTCCCCGCTCTGTCTCTGGTGAATCCTCTACCCCCTGCACCTCTGGCCTGCACCCCAGCTCTTATATGCATAAATACATCTTTAAAAAAATTTTTTTTTTAAAAACCCAGTCCTGCAGCAGCAAGTTCGGAAGCATAAAATAACTGCCTCCCCTGGAAGCCAGAGCTCCAGTTATTTTCCTGGGTGTAAGTTTCCTCCGGGGCTGGCGCAGGCCCCCCTCACTCTCCTCCTTCCCATCCTGTTCTGCCTGCATCCCCTCGACTTCCTCTCGCACTGTTGGCTAGAATCCCTGTCTTCTGCAGGTGTGAGCTGAAGTGATAAAACAACTCTTAAAGTCCATTTGGCTTCAGCGCTGCAGGTGCCCAAGCGCGATTCGGCGGGGCGGGGCAGGGCTGGCGGGGCCGTGGGCCCTTCAGGGGGCCGCAGGGAACCTGTCCAGCTGCCCGCCACTGCCTGCACACAGTCCAATGGCACAGTCAGCCTCTCAGGCCCAGCCTTGGAATGAAACCAGATGCTCACAGCAGAACCTGCAGCCGCCAGCTTGGACAGTGTCCAGGGCAGCTCTACCCCTCTGTCTCTGTTCTTGTCCCTCCCCGCCTCCCCCGAGT